GTGTGTGTGTGTGTGTGTGTGTGTGTGTGTGTGTCTGTGTATGTGTGTGTGTGTGTGTCTGTCTGTCACTTTGTAACCTTTTTCGTATGCTATGAGTTTATAACTATAAGATATTGTGTTCTTTCCGCAGCCATGCCTTAACCTACAACGATGAGCCTCAAGAAAATGTCCAGATGGTTCTATACGATGTCCATTCTCCTGGTGGGATGCTGCCTGTCTCACCACGGCGTACACGCATTTGAGCAGGGTTCAAACCTCAAATCCAGCAGCCCAAAACACATCGATGATCTGTTGTCCGTTTCCGATGCGTTTGAGCAGGGTTCAAACCTCAAAACCAGCAGTCCAAAACACATCGATGGTCATAAATTGTCCGTTTCCGATAGAAACGAGCTCGTTGCTGGAGATCGTTTTGGGAACACGGTCGATCAAGCGAGACCGGCTCAGAGTCGAGGAATCAGCTATGATGTCGTGCCTAACGGTGTGGAGGAGTTTCAAGGCAGGAATTCGGCCATAGATTTTACTGCGTCCGTGAAGGAGGAGGACTTTATAGACTCTCGGCTGCGTCACTCCGACTCCGAACAACAAGACCAGAACTATGATACTCACGCCGGAACTGCCGTGTGCACACACAATTGTCTCAACAACGACGACGACGACGACGACGACGACAACGACAACAACAACAACAACAACAATAAAAACAACAAAAAAGACAACGACAACGTTGGGGAAGTTGACACGAGTACAATAGGAGCTGAGGGGGTCTCTTGTAAAAATGGTTGTCTTTCTGAAAAAGAGGAACTTCCAAAGGAAGTAGTTGCCAAAAGCAAGGCGGAAAAAGACACATCTCAGCAAATAGTCCCCATAATGAACGCGGAAGAACACATATCCATGGAAATAGTCCCCAAAAGAAAGGTAGAAGAAGACGCGTCCCAGCAAATAGTCCCCAAAATCAACGAAGAAGAGAACACTTCCCAGCAAATAGTCCCCAAAATCAACGCAGAAGAAAACATATCCCCTCAAATAGTCCCCAAAATCAACGCAGAAAAAAACATATCCCCTCAAATAGTTCCTAAAATCAACGCGGAAGAAAACATATCCCCTCAAATAGTCCCCAAAATCAACGCAGAAAAAAACATATCCCCTCAAATAGTTCCCAAAATCAACGCGGAAGAAAACATATCCCCTCAAATAGTCCCCAAAATCAACGCAGAAGAAAACATATCCCCTCAAATAGTCCCCAAAATCAATGCCACACAAGAACCTCGGAGACCAACAATCTCCCCAAAAAGACCAACAACCTCCCAAAAAAGACCAAAAGACGAGCTTCCGAGACAAGTCCCCAAAATCACTGCACAAGTCATTGAACCTCCAAGACGTGTAGTCCCCAACATGAGGATGGTTAGGTCGACGACAGTGGCGCCACCCCCTGTTGTTCTCAACATCATCGGCCTGTTCGCCATGAGCGGTCCGTACCCGGCCGGTCTGTCGTATCTGCTGGCGGCTCTACTGGCCGTCCAACACGTCAACATTGACCCCAGCATTCTGCCCAACCACAAGCTACAGATAAACGCCTACAACACCAATGTGAGTTCATTTCCTCTTACTCTCTGTCTCCCTCTTTCTCTCTTCCTCCTCTCTTTCTCCTCCTCTCTTCCTCTTCCTGTCGCTCACTGCCTCTCAACCTCTCTCTCTCTCTCTCTCT